CATCGCTCTTAGGTTAGAGGCCATCGAAGGCAGGTTGAGAGGCCATCGCTAGTAAGTTGGTGACAAAAAAGAAGACAGCAAAACAGTCAAAACAGTCAAAGTTGGAGATCCTCTCACTTAGGTTGGAGGCCATCGAAAGCAGGTTGAGGGGCCATCGCTAGTAAGTTGGTGACAAGAACCAAAACTGCAAGCCGTCAAAGTTGGGGGTCTTCGCTCTTAGGTTGGAGGCCGTCGAAAGCAGGTTGGGGGCCAACGCTAGGAGGTTGGTAACAAGAAGCACAAAAAGCACAAGAAACACAAGACAGCAAAGTTGGGGGCCAATCTAGTGGGTGGAGGCCAAAGTTCAGGTTAAGTAGTCTAGAGGAAAACAGAAGGAAAGGCACCGACGCACAAGTGTGTCGAGTACCATTTCCTCCTGTTTTCCTAAATAGGGGAACAGGTACGGAAGTTTGCGTCCAAACTTCCATCCAGTCGATTTCCATAGCTTCATTGGCGTGACTAGGAAATCGACTGTCACGCCCCCTGTTCCAAACCTAAAGGTTCCCTTTGATTCCAAGGGTTACACACACACACACACACTCGGCCGCTTTGCGGCGCTGTCGCGGAGGATGTAAATAGGCGCCTAAAAAGCCTTAGAAACAAGAGAAAGAAAAACAGAAAGAGCAGCGCTAAAAGGGCAAGAGAGAAAGATAGGAGTAGCAAAAAGTGAATACTTAGCCCTTGACAGGGGTAGGGAAACGAGCCTGAAGAACAACCTAAAAAGCGTGAGAGAAAGCCCAAGAAACGACGAAAAGCGTAAGAAGGAAAGTCGGGGGCAGGGAGGTGTATGTACATGTGTGTGTCCGTGTGTGTGTATGAATACCTAGCACTCTAGAATTAATACTGAATACTTAGACGAAGTAAGTGAATTAGGTGCACTAGTTAGGGAGTGGGACTTTTGTCTTACACCGCCCGGGTAGAGTAGACTAGAAAAGGGACAACAGAGGGAAAGGCACCGACACAGAAGTGTGTCGAGTACCATTTCCCTCTGTTACCCTAATTAGAGGGAGGGGGGGTTGGGGTGTTTGGGGTAGAGAACACGTCGGGGTTTATTCTCCGTATGCCCGGCGGCTTTGAATTTCCGTGACGCCCCGCGGCTTAGATTTTGAGAATACAGTGGTGAAACGAAAATCAGTTAAGATAATCCAACGAGTGCAGAAAGCAGGAGAATCAGTTGGCGGTAGTCCGGCATGAAATCAGCGCCCCAGTGACGGGGATCACACTGTGCACCCACGTGGGACGGCACAGCGGCACACACTTTGACAATGGGTTTTCAGTTAACTCAATTCCCAGGTCGAAAATGGTGAGGGAACGGAAAGGTGCAAAATCAGCTCAACTGAAATGTTCAACACTGTTGCACGTGACTGCGGAAAGCGGCGGCGGCTCAGTTGCATAGGTACAAGGAACCCTGTTTTGGGAGGTATCATGTGGAACGACCATGAAAGCAAAGAACAGCGGCGAAAATTGGAGTTGTATCACGATGCTGGTACATGGTTGAGCGTCCTCAACCACTTCCCTTCCAGTGACCCAGCTTTGTTGGATCAGGTTTGCCACTGGAAGCCTGATCCCCCTGCTTGTGGAAAACTCTTAGGAACAGAGTGTGACACACACACACACGCGCACAGACTGTGTCGGTTCCGGACCTCATCAACTCCTGAACCAAGCAGCTGATGGACTGGGGGGCCGGGTCTTGAGGTGCTGCGGAGTGCTACAATCCGTTGTGGTTTTGGACTCCATTCATTTTGCAAATCACACATTGAATGTGGTTGCAAAATACTGGCAACCTCATCCTCGCCATGCCTGCGCGGATATATATAAATATATATTCTAATCTCTGCATTCGCCCCTCCCTCAAAGCAATTTAGACTTTAAACATTCCACACTAGTTTTCATCGCCCTATTCTGTCAAAGGAACATGCTACACAGTGGACACATTTTTGTTCATCTTGCTCAGGCTGGCTGGACTCTGGGAGCTAGAAAGCGGAAACCACGTGTCGGGCAGCTGAGGAGAAGTTGCATGGAAAAACCACACGTCTGGAGTGTGTGGGTGCTTTGCGCTCCAAACAGAGGGAACCTGAAGAAGTTGAGCCCGTTGTTTTGGTGGACCAAGCTCTGATTGACCTTCCCTCCAATCATGGACATGGAAGGACCCGGTGATGTTATGTGTTTTTTCAAGGGTAATGTAGTAATGCCTCAGCCCTTTTGACATCTTTTTTCAGGAGGTGAGCGGGATGATTGGTGGTATTATGTGACACGTTTGCTTTCAGTCTGTGACACGCGGTGTCGGGAAATTACGGCCGTAGTGTCGCAGTGCCACGCGGATTTGCACGGCCTTGGTGGAAAGTGCTTTTGCGTGGCTCCGTGCCACTGGGGAGCGCGAAACATGCTGGTGTAAACGCGGCGTGTCGCAGGTGAGCGGGATGATTGGCGGTATTATGTGATTTGGAAGTCGACCAGGACACTCCTTTGAGCAACACTTGTGGCGAAAAAGGCTCGTTAGTTGAAGGCAAACGATGTTCAGATGTGCAAGCTATAATCTGCTGTTGACTGGTTCATTAGAAGTTGCAACCAAGCTGGTGTCAGGAAGAACATGACATTTGCAGATGTGCTAGCTGTCACACGCAGTTGCAGATGTTTTTCTTTCGTCGTTCTTACACGACATGTCCTGCTGGCATTTTTCTTGTGTCAACATTTGGAAAATTTTTGGTCCGGAGGATTTGCTGAGAGTTCCCGAACTGGGGCGCCTGATCCGCACTTGCAACCGTGAAGGTCGCTCTAAAACGCGCTCGGCTGTGAAATCTTCAGGAACCTTCCGCCACGGCCATCGCCTCAGCCGGAACTTTCCACCACGCCCATCGCCTCAGCCAGAACAAGCTGAGGCGCTCGAAGCCGAGCGGGAAGCCATCGTCACATTGCAAAAACGGATGAAATGGACGTGCGCAGAACGAAACGGCCGGCCACTCATTTGGCGCTGCAGACGCCGGCAAAGATGAAGAGCACCAGATGGGAAGCGCCCGAAACGTGAAGCGTTCACCGGCCGCACCATCGCGAACTGTGCGGGGCTGGGTATGGGCGACGCTAGAACTAGTTAACAGGATCTGTCTGAGATTCATGTCTTGCCTGGCTTTCGATGGCAGCCACAAGAGAGGTAGCTGATATGCGTTAACAGGATCTGTCTGAGACACATGTCATGCTTGGCTTGGAATCGTAGCGGCTGGATGTCCCGCGAGCACGAGTTTTGCACAAAATGCGCGGCTGATCAAAATCAGTGGCTGTTTCATTTGTTGGCTGCTTCATTTGTTTGTCACTGTTTGTCATCATCATCATCATTATCATTATACATACTCATGCATTACACATCATCATCATCATACATACAACATCATCATCATCATCATCAACATATTACATTATCATACATCACCATCATCATCATAATCATCATCGCCATACATACGCAGACATTATACATCATCGTGCACCTGTGATCGTTCGTTTTCGTTTGAAACCCTTTCGTTCTAATGCTTACTCCTACTATGCTTTCGGGCCACCCTGTCGTCTAGTTTCATTTGTTCACCTCTCCGTCCTGTCCGACCCCCATTCGAACAGACCCCCATTCGAACAGCGAGAGGCTCGAGCGCACCGAGGCGGCCGAGGGAACCACGAACTCCAAGCAGCTGAAGCGAGAGGCTCGAGCTGAGGAGGCGAGCCGAAGCCGGAGGGGCTGGCCGTCGGAATCGTGCCGGCGGAATCGTTGTCGTGGCCAGTGGCGTATTTTTCTTTTGGGTTTCTCATTGATCCCTAGTGCTCCAACCATCTCCTCAGAAGGTGGTTAGACCCCCCAATCCCACCCCAACCATCTTCTAAGGAGGTGGTTGGAGCCCTAGGGAATTATATTATAAGGATTGAACAAAAATGTTGGGGATGGTGCACAATGGACTCCAACAAGACTATACTGATGCAGGATGGTGCAGGATAGCTTCACAGGTGTTTCCTACCAGAGAATTGCTCAACAGCCTGGCTTCTGAACCTTCTGAGGAATTGCCGCAACAGGAGAACCATTGGCGTCTGGAACTCAGCTGGTCGAATGAACACAGGTTGCCGGTCGAGTGAACGCAGTGTTTTGCTCGGTTTGGAAGAACAAATTCTCTGTGAGGACATTTAATGACATTTACCAAATCCCTAGGTTTCCCCCAAAGCCACTTCTTCTTTCGATCATTTTTATCATTTCTTTGATCCTATAACAACATGCAAACAAGGAACTCAGAGGTCATTAAATGAGGGAGAACTCATGGTAAGAGATGGTAAGACTGGATTAGTTATTTTAGATTTTGTGTGTGTGTGTTTGCAGTATATACGTGTGAGTTGTTGTCCTTTTTTCTTTGGGGGGGGGAAGGGTTGAAGAACTGCGTCAGGTTGATTTGGGTGACCATATTCCAGGAGTCACCCTTCACTCCCTTCACTCTGCGCCTTCCGAACTCCTTCGCACGAACTGCCTCGGCGAGGTCCTGCCGAGGCGACCGAGGCCTGCGCGACGTCCGTCGCGCTGCCACCGGCGACGCCTGCGACGCCGGCGGCGCCTGCGGCGCCTGCGGCCGCGCGGGCGGTGGCGATGTGCGGGGCGCAGCCTGCGGCGGTGCCTGTGAATGGTAGCAGCCGGTGGGCTCGGTTCTTGGGGAGCTGAATTTGAAAGCTTTCGGTGGAAGAAGCAATCCAGTTTGGTGGGAACTTTCAGCCCGCTGAGTGGATGAAATCATTCTCAAATGCCACTGCAACACTGCAAACAAGTGACATCGAACTGCGGCGTCCATCTTTGTCACCGAAGCGCCGTGGTCGGTCTTGGGTCCTGTGCAGAGTCACAGATGGGACCAAGTGGCCTCGCTTGCATGGGGCTCGCAAGTCAGGGAAAATGGCGCTCAGAGTCGAACCGGAGTGTTGAGGAGTAGGCCGTCCGGCCATCATCCCAAACGGCTGTGATATGTGTGTGTGATTCCAAGAGCTACCTGCTACCTTCCGCATTCGTAGAAGTTGCCCTGAAGAAGGGAACATGTCATGAAATCTGATCTACAATACTGTACTGGATGCACGACCCCTTGGATTCCTAAAAGAATGACGCAAGGATGCGGACTCAGCAACTGAATTTGGGCTAAGCCTTAAGCTCATTGGTCGTGGTTGCCAGGTGCACGGGCCTATTTGAAGCAGATGGACCAAGGTAGGGGCGATTCGGATCGGAGTTGGTTGGCTGACCTGGATAGAACATCATCATCATCATCATTTCCTTCTTTTTCTTCTTTTTCGAAGAGGCAGAAGGACGGTCTTTTACTATCTGTCGATTCAACCATTGGGCGAACAAAAAACCACAAGTTCCGCCTGCGGGCACGCCGAAAAGAACTGCTTGGCGGGCTAGAAAAGGTCTGCAACGTTGATGATTTCCCTGATCGGGATGAGTTATTGTGTTTACGCTATTTTGTGCTACTGAGCAGGTCTCGACAGGTCTGCAGCCGGGCTAGACGGTCTGAGCATGTCTGAGCTTGGTGTTTCTGCTCAGAATGAGGCCTCAAGCACTTCCTGGCGCAGTTCGCGTCAGAGTTCCAGATCGAAGGCAACAAGGGCTGTTGGGAGCCCAGATCCGTCAGATCAGTGATGATAAGCTTGAGAGATGTCCCAAAGTATCCTGATGTCCAGGGCTTTCATGAAAGCTGGGACCGTTTTCGACCAATAGCAAGTGTCCAGGTCTTCGCCAATACACGCACCTGAAATCATGTCCTTGTCCGATCTCAGCCAACAAATTCACCTGCAACAAGGTGAATTTGTGAGCTACACGCCCAGTGAGGTGCGCCAACATCCAAAAACGATCAAAAAAGCAGACTGGTCCAGGGAAATGAGCAAACATTTGACCAACCGGATGAAGTGCTTAGGACTTGAGTGGTGACAGGAGGTGACAGTGTGGATCTCACGTACTGGCCATGTCTTGTGGTCCGAGAAGTCTTTTGTATATACTCCCTGGAACTAACAGAAATGGACAACCACCTGTTTATATAGGAACATTGTCTTCCAAGGGACCATTTTTCACTTCAATGTCAGTTCCAGGGAGTGTACTTTTTCTTGCTTGAGGGATTCTTGGTTTGACCCAACAGGCAGTGTCACAGCACCATGTTGTCAGGAAACCCTTGCCAAGATGTCCACAACTCAGCATGGGAGGTTGCTTCTCTCGCTGACAGAGCATTCGTGGACATCTCTCAGCCTGCATTACTGGTCATCATGTGCTTCCTTCAATGTTCTTTTTTGAGTCAAAGCGTAGATCATCACTTAGTAACATTGCATATTTTGCCCGGCATCGACCGGCTCGACCGGGGTGGCCTGGACCACTTCAGGGAAAGGGAGGAGAAGCCGCTGCAGAGCCCCAAGAGCAAATCGCCCAACGATGTGCCAAGGCTGTTTGGATGCTGTGATTCGTTGGATGCAGAACCTGTCTATATAGGTGCTAAGAATGACCGGAACCATTGCCTCAGTCTTCCAGTAAGTGGTGTCTGGTCCTATTTAAGGGCGATCAGAATAAGGGATGATCAGCCGCACATCATGAAAACTATCGGGGGTAAGAACGATCATGTTGCGCAAACACAGGCTCCTTGTGCATCCTGTTGCAGCTCCGAGCTATTGAACCTCATCCTCTAGATCCTCCACACGGTGCGTGGTTCACCACCCACACACTTCTTCGAACTGGCTCCTCCGCATCGCTCCAGTTCGGTCCGTGTTCCAATGACGCCCAGCGATTGGGGGACGCCGGCACCTGGGGCAGCCGCGTGACTCGGACCGCAGGTGACCGGGGTGAGTCGAAGGAGTGCGTATGACTGGCCATGCTGGGTTCCCCTTTTGGAAACACACCTCGTGTTTTTGCTGTTTGCAGGATGAATTCGAGATGAGATGTGGTATGAAAAAAGATGAAAACAGGTATCATAGCGAATATGTCTTCTCTGATTCTGCGCTAGAGTTTGGTAAACTGAGGAGGCGTTTGTTCCTCTCGAAACTTTAGAGTATTGATGAGAACTGAGAGAGGGGGCTGGTATGGTCGGACCGGTGGCGTCTGACGGATCCCGACCCCAATCGGAACCCATAGGTTCAACCAGCGGGTGCGTATAGGTGCGGCGGGCCACGGGGGGGCCCCAACCCCTGCAGTTAAGGGGATAAGCTATAGGGATCTATAGGGTGTGGACTGTTAAACACACCAATATGATTTGAGACCCCCACCCGACCCTCCCCAGACGCGGACGAAAAGAGCCGGTTTTCCTGAGAGATCGGCTTCTTTCTGCCCCAAAGGTCGCAGGTCGCAGTCAACTGCACAGTCAACTGGTGTTAGTTCGAACGCTTTCGCAGTCGTTGAAGGTGTTTCAGTCGTCGCAGTCGGCGTTGAACAACGCCTTTGGCGTTCCGAACTCAACTCTCTCCATGTGACGCCGGACTCGCGTCGTTTCCACACGTTTTCGTCCGACGTCGTTGAGCAAGATCATCACCCCTCGGCCCAACGACTCAAGGCCAGCTCTTCAGTGGATGCCACCCTGGCCTCAGCAAGGCCAGGGATGCGGATTTGGCTGTTCATTCTTTCTTCATCGGTTGAATATGGTGAAGATGACGGCGTGAAGCCAAACATCACAGTTTGGATCAGTGTGGTGATTGTGTGGAACATCGAACTAGCACGAGACTCTCTCCAATGTTGACCTCTTTCATATTGTTCACGCCAATTCTCGGGTCTAGTGAGACTCTCTGAGACCCTCGTTTAGTGATATGAGTCACTTCCTTTCCCAACATCCCCCGGTGCGCAGGGGTCGGGAATGGAGATGCCATGCACTTGGCCGAATTTCTCGGGGTGGACGGGCCATGAGGGGCCTGTGTTCACGGAAACGAAAGAGCGAGGTTGCGAGTGATTTGTGATGAGGTCGGTGAGTCAAAACGATCGGAATGATTCATGTACAACGTGTTTGACCCACTAATTAACTATAACTGTTCAGTCAGGGCCATGCCTAATTTCATTGTCATCACGCTACGTACAACCAGTTCTGGATTCTGGATATTCTTTACGCAATCTTTACCACCTGTCTTTTTTTGGCCTGATGCGGTTTGGTGCTGTGTCTGCACTGCATGCATGCTCAGAGTGTCTGCATGATTCTGCGTGTATGTTTAAGATGTTCATCTCCGAACATCTTTTGATGGCCCTGATGTCTTTCCTGCAAGCTGAGTCTTTTTTTCCGAGTGTATAGTATAGCCGATCTGTGGCCAAACCCTTCACGAAGCACTCGACTTGGTTTCTCAGCCCAGGTGGCGCAGAAACACGTGAAAACAGCTGTTGTTTTTCGTCGTCCCGGTGGGAGACACTGCAGCACTGCACCAAGGCTTGGAACAACTGGGCAGCGCTGCTGGGGTGCCCGGCTCCTTTCGCCAGGAAAGGTCGTGTGCTTTCTTTCTCACCACAGGGGCCACGTCCTGGAAGTAGGGGTCTTCAGTGATGAAGTTCATTTCTGGAAGCTGCGAATTGATGAAGTCGAACTTCATGGGTCCTGAAGTCGAACTCGATGGACCATACTCGCTGTCCTTGACTCGCTGGACCATACTCCCTCGAAAAGGGCAGGCACCGAGTTCGAGGACCGGACCGACCAGTGCAGCCGACGGAAACACCGATGGTTCGTTCTCTGCCCCCGGGTTCCGGGGCCTTGGAACAACCTGTCGGCCCACCAGCTAAGCCATCCAGCTAAGCAGCCTCCAGCCACATCCGGTGGGTGTGGTGGCTGAAAAAACCACGCGCGGAGACACGCGCGGCTCGGCCGACACATTGACGCACCTGAGGCAGGGACAGATGCAGCAATGGCAAGGAGGACAAAGCCGAAGTCTCGGAGACGACTGAGAGAAGTGAATCAATTTGAAGGAATTGAAGGGCTTGATAGGGCTTGTATGTTGTGGTTTGTGGGAATTCCGTTTTCGTTTCGGTGAATGTTGGCATTGCCGTTACCTTTCTTCCATTCCTTTTTCCTGAAAGGAAAACCAAATACACACGACCGCCAGATGGGACATCGACCCCCCCCCCCACCCTGCCGCGGATCGCCACCGCCCGCGCCAGGTTGGAATCAGTATGGCTGGTCGGGGGAGGAGGCGAAGCGACCGTCCAGCGAGCTGGCGATAGTGAGTAGGTTGTGGGTGGGCAGAGTCTTTCTCCCTGGGGAAATGGGGAGAAATGAGGCGAAGACCAAGAAATCCAATTATTATATGAAGTAACTATATGAAGTATGGCCCTTGTATTTTTGTGGTTCTGTGTTTGCTCAAAAGGCAGAATGCTAAGTGTCCGGTGTTTGCTGAAGGATCCACTCTTGGTCCAAAGCCCTGGCGTGGCTGAAGGGGTTTTGGCTTAGGACTCTTCCTACGAACCATCTTCCCACATTGACGTAGCAGAAACATCATAGACATATAGGTTGGTTCATTGAACCCTCATCAGGGACTTCACAACCAAGCACGTCTCATCCCTTTCCCTGCTGCCAAGAGGTATAGATTATATATTATATATATGGACATGATTATTAACACATGATTATACGCTGTAGGAAGAGACATGTAGCAAGAGCTTGGGCACGGACATTTGTTCCACTTGTAAAACATCCAAGTTCCCCAGACGTAAGATGAATTAAGGACAACGCCTTT